TTTCAAATTAAGGCTAACTTTAAGAACTTTTGACAATTTTGCTTGATGCACATTAAAAATGTGCTGGCACTCGAAGACTAGATGGGATTTTAGATCTTGATGAGCACAGTGTCCTGGACCATGCATGTTTATTTCTCTCCACACTCCCCTGCCCCCGAATGTTTTGCTACGTTTGTCTGTCAATATCCATTGGGTTACACTCATCATAGCTTTAGGGATCACGTGTGCTTACAAATTGCCCTTGCAACACACACTCAACTTCCTGAACCCTCAAAGACAGGAAGTCAAATGACACAGAAACATTTTTCGCAGCAAAACATTTATGCAGCCTTGTTGCAGATCAGCTCTTTACAGATGATCAGGGTCAAAACTGCTCAGAATCATGAGACGGGGATGTTATGTTACTGCCTCTATCTGGCCTTCTTTTTCTGATAGTTATTGATTATTTTTCGGTCAAAGTAACATTAACCCCAGAATATGTGATTGCCATCAGAGACAAACATCACCTTCCTCTGCATCATTCCTTTCCTTCATCAAACATATTATTTCAGGACAGTTTATTTATACTCTGTGTGATTCAGAAAACACCAAGAAAATAATCCCCTTCTTCTTTTCTCCAATTGAACAATCTTGGCTTCTCATGCACTCATTGTTGATCAGCCTTAAATGCCAAGTAGGTGGCCTATTGCTGAATCCAGGGCTCCATTACAATGATCATTTGCTTTTGCTGTCCGCTACCGAACACTATCCATGAGCATTATCCACAATTGAGACCGAGGATGCTGTGCAATCAAAATTCCCGTTGGATGATGCCTGATAACATGTACGGTGAATCAGATGGTTTGGGTTCAAGCCCAGGTTATAACTTTGAGCTCGTATTGACGAGGTTGACGCTCTGTCTCTTCAGTATTAATGAAACAACAATTGGTACAGTCTGCCTCTTGGACCTGGAATAAATAAAGTAGCCATGAATTAAATAATCAATTTGGGGGACTGTTGCCAAGCAAACCAGGCAAAATTTCCTTCTGTTTTTAAAGAGTGCCATGGGATCTTTAATGTCCACCTAAACAGTCAGGCGTGTCCTTGGTTCAGCTTCTCATCTGAAGGACAGTTTATCCAAAAATTCTACACCCTCCGGTACTACATTGGAGTGTCATTTTCATAACAGTGTAGTCTGTAAAATGCTTTGAGATATCTCAAAGATGTGATCTGGCGCTGTCCCAAATACAAGAATTATTATTATTTTTCTTTGTCTACATGCGTTCCATGTCCAGATATGGGGCTTGAAGTAAGGTGGAGTGTGTATCCATGGATGGTGATGCTGTCAGCACCTGAGGTGTGGAAGTGCTGACAGGAGCCAATCAGGAGAGCCTCAGTCTTGTTGATGTTCAACTAAAGAAAGTTAGCTCTCATCCCGCCATTCCCTTCATGAACACATCCAATCCGGTTTCCGTGATACCCACAGCACACAAACAACCCTGGTCAAAGTGACAAATGACATTCTGTCCATCTGGGAACAGGGTTCACTCTGCTTCCTTGTCCTTCTTGACCTCACTGCTGCCATCGACACCGTTGACCATTCTATCCTCATCCACCACCTGTCTTCTCACCTCAACCTTCATGGTTCTTTCCTTGAATGGTTCAGATCATACCTCTCACACCACCTACACTTCATCTCACCAACGGTTTCTCCTCTAGTTCTGCACCATCTCTTGCGACGTTCCTTAGAGTTCTGTCCTTTCTCCACTTCAACATCTATATGCTCCCTCTTGGTGAAATCATCCACAGACATGGGGTCAACTGCCATGGATGCAGATGGCTTGCTACTGAACGTCTCTGCATCCGCCCTTGACTCCAGGACCACTGCTGTCCTAACAGAATGTCTGTCACACTCCGGTCCTGGATGAGAGCTAACTTTCTTCAGTTGAATATCAACAAGACTAAAACCCTCCTGAAGGCTCCATTCAGTGCCTCCACACCTCAGCTGCTGACAGCATCATCATCCATTGATGCACACTGCATCGTACTAAGCCAGTCCAGAACCTTGACGTCTTCTTTGACCCTCAACTATCCTTTCTATCCCACATCCATACCACAACCCACTCTGCTTTCTCCCACCTCTGCAGTATCGCCCGGCTCCACCACTGTCTCACATCACAGGACGCCGAAACCCTCTTACATGCATTCATAACACCGAGGTTTGACTATGCAAACTCCTTGCTACTCAACCTCCCCAATCCTCCCTCCATAGGCTGCAGATCATCCAGAACTCTGCAGTTCATGTCCTCTCTCGCACCAGGCTCCGTGACCCTATCACCCCCATTGTCGCCCAACTCCACTGGCTTCCCATCATTCGGGATCCTGGAGTTCACCTTCAAAGCCCTCCATGTCCGCCCCTACCTCTGTGACTCCCTAAAACCCTACAATCCTGCCCGATTCCTCCGCTTAGGGGCTCCAGCCTGCTTCACGTTCTCCACCTTGCCCACAACCATTGGCGGGCGGGCCTTCCGCCACTCAGCCACTACCCTCTGGTGCTCCATCCCACAGTACCTCCACCTCACCCCCTGTCCCTTGCCTCCTTCAACACCCATCTCAAGACCCTTCTTAACAACCATGCTTTCAATCACCCTGCTTCCATACCCCTGCCCTACACACTCCCCAATCACGACCCCAGCTTGGGTCCAATACACGGACTATCCAATGCCTTGGGACATCCTACAGACGTGAAAGGTGCTGTACAAGCGTAGATGCTATACAAACACTGCGTCTTTCATGTGGTACTTTATCAAATGAGTAAGGAAGCACATGTTTGCAAGCTCTGATCTTTCACACTGGGACATTCCCAGTTTATGTTGGGTTGGTTGATGTCGCCCTTCAGTACTGCCTTCTTTTTCTCATATACACTTCTAATAATATCATTGCTTTGTTATAGCAGCGGCGTAAGTCACGGACCCCAAATAGTCTACAAGCTTTTTTCTTATTGAGCACATCTTGCCATCCAAACACATCAAGAGGATCTCATACTATGACTGATCCTGCAATGTTGGTTCATCTGCATTAAGTTCCAGGGTACTCCTTATACACATGGCTAACTTAAAAGCAGACACAATTCACCCAACGCAGTGAAAAAGTTGAAGCGTGGGCGTTGAACTATTCATGTAACTGCTACAAATATATCTAACATGAAACAACTAAGCATTAAAACACCAATCATTCTGCTGTATTTGTAAATGTCAAAGGATAATTCCATTGCAAGAGTCTCGCTCTCTGACATTATAAATAGACCGCAGGTTATTAACTTTTTCCATTATTTAGGCTGTGCCTAATGTTTTAAAGTGGCTGTACCTACACAGTATATCATTATTTACATAACAACAGATATGCATTCTTAGTACATGAAGTGGTGTGCATTTTGTGGGCAAAAATGCCTGTCTGGCAAATTGACCATAGGTACAGGCGAAGTGGAAAATCTTCAAGTGTGATTTGAAGACACTTAAAAAGTTTGTGGGGTACAGGGATTGAGGCAGGATTAGCTTGAAGGTGCCAAAGGCATCAGGTACACATAGAAATCCTGAGCCAGTCAAACAAAAGTGCAACAGACGAACGAGTGCAATAAAAGTGTAGATTACTGCTTTTCATAGCATAAATATGATGTAGTCTGCATCACCATTTGACAGACCTCCATAATGTCCCTACAATATATAATTTGCATATATTTGTGTAAGAAAAGTTCCTGCATTGCTCAGATTATTTGTTACCTATTAACAAGACCAATTCACATTTGTACAGCATCAATTCAATTCACTTTACAGTATATTCTGTGAAGTGCTTTGAGAGGTCTCGAAGACATAAAAAGGCACAAAGATTATTATTACATTGTGGCATCCTTCGCATAGCCTATAATCTTGGTGGGCTTCAAAGCGTTTGGGTTGGACACTGAGCAAGGGAAAGGCAGCGGGGAGAGAGATGGACATAGACATGTTTCAAGAGGGAGGAATTGAATCAGGACAAAGGCAGATTGGGAAAGAGTAATCTAATAATAATTACAGTACAATCGTTGATTGATATTTCAACTTATTATGTTGTTGAGATGTTTAAAAGGGTTTTGCAGGATATATTGGGAAATGGTGCGACTGTGTTTATTTTGTAGGCAAAGCAACCAAAGTTTCGGCCATTGATGGTGATGCAGAGAGGATGCAGCAAGCCATTGGAGAAAGAAAATGTTAGAAGGAGACAAGGAGGATGGTTTTCAGCAACGAGTGAAGAAAAAGGTGGAAGCAAATTTGAGTGGCCAGAACTTTGGTTACCAAGGGCAAGTTGGAGATGGACCAGTAATTGGAGAGTTTAGACGGATGGGAGTACACTCTTTGATGGAGTGGTTACTGTGGTTTTAAAGCGGAGAACTATGCCAGAAGAGAGGGAAAAGTTAATTTCTATCAATAGGGAACAGCTGGATAAAAGTAAAGAAGACATTTTTCATCAGTTCGGAATGTTTCTGACATAACTGGTTTCACAAGTTGATGCTCAAACCAACATTTACAGATGGAGAAAGCACCAAAATGTATTAATGGCACTAAACAATGTTTTGTTTTAAGTTTATAGATTCTTAGCTTTTTTCTGCTCTTGGTTATTACTTTCCCAATTTTAATGCAAAAGTGTGATTACAAATTGCGTCTACCACACCTTGTACATTTCACAAACCCAAAGAAACAGGAAGTCAGTGTCACACAACCCACTCTGTATAAAATAATACACGTTCACTTGTTGCAAGCCATCAGAGCCAGAGACAGACATGAGGAATGTGGTCTTTCTGTGCCTGTCTGCCTTATATATTATTTCAACAGGTGTGTATGTTCATTCTATAATTCAGTTCTTCTATGAAACATGTGCAAATTGTTTCCGTGTGCCATTTATCTTAAATAGTTACATTTATTCCTCTTTTACCCATTTGTTTTCTCCATAGCTTACCATCTAAGAACTCTGACTTTATTTTCTGACAGTTGCTGGCGATTCATCGTTGAAAGTGACTCAAATCCCCGACCATGTGGCTGTCATCAGAGGGACAAATGTCACCTTCCACTGTATCTTTCGCTTCCCTCAAGATGGTTCAGGAGTGAAGGTGCAGTGGCATAAGGAGGGTGAGAGCGGCTATTTGGATACAAAGGAGGATCGCAGGAAACTATTTGGTGTAAAAACTAAAGGAAGCGGCTTCTGCCAGTTCCTGAATGTGAGTTTACAGGACTCTGGAGTCTATCGCTGTCTAGTGGTCCGTCAGGGATCAATAATTGGAACAGGACCTGGATCACAATTAACTGTGCGCGGTGAGTGTGAATGAAGAGCAAAATTGGTGTTTAGAAATTACATAACAAGTAATAAATGCGGTGAATGCTATATCGTTATTTATACCGTTTGTCCATTAATAACTTTCACAATCTGGCTTTTAAAGTACTTTGAGCTGTCTCGAAGATGTGATAAGGCGCTATATTCAAATGCAATGATTATTTTATCACCATCATTCAGCAGTGGTCAGCAGAGCAAAATTCTAACGCAGAGGTGAAAATACAACCAACTGATCCACACTAACACAGTGTGCACACCTCTGCCAGGAATCCTCTATCACCTCTGTTCGACGCTTCAACATGTTGGTTAGGCATTTCTAAGTGATCATTTCTACCTGCCAATCATCAAAGTTAGTAATAATATGAAAGATAAAGGACATGAATATAATAATAATAATAATTCTTGCATTTGATATAGCGCTTTTCACGTCTTCCCGACGTCTCAAAGCACTTCACAGAATATACTGTAAAGTGAATTGACTGTGTATTTGTGGGTAAAATGCGGCAGCCAATTGCGCACAGTAGTGTCCCACAAACAGTCGTGGATTCAAGTGACCAATTTATTGTTGTTTTGTTTCTTGAGGGATTATTATTAGGCGTGTGGAGTGTGGAAGCAAAATTAAATTCAGATTTTGATTTATAAATGGTTTCAGATCTTGAATATTTCTGCAGTAAATTATAAAGGAAATATACCAGTGATATCACCTTATGTGGATGGTTTCTGAGCTCTGTAAGTTGAGGGAAAGTGAGTAGGTATATCAAAACTCCCAAATGAATTCCAATGTATTACAAACTTAACCATAAATATTAATTTAAAATATTAATTGATAAAAGCACAAAGTAATTAAAGCAGGAGTAAGGCCAACGCTGCTGTGAGAAGGGATATTTGTGTATCTTAGAAAACCTCTATTTGTACTCAGGCGTCAGGAGTTTGCAAAGAAATGTATCGGATATAAATCAAAATAAAGTTTGTCCCATCGGTTGATCAAAATTAACACGATTCTCCTCCATTATCTGTTCCACAGCTCCCCCAACTCCACTGAAGATTTTCTCTAGAAATTCACCTAAGCCTCAGACTCTTGTGTGTGAAACTGCCTTGTTTCACCCAAAGGAAATCACCCTCACTTGGTATAAAGATGGCACCAAAATTGTGCCAACACCAGAAATAAAGCTGGAAGAGTCAGGTTCCACTGAGAAGCAGAACTCAGAGGATCTCTGGAAGGCCTCGAGCTCTATCGAAGACACACAGCCTGGCCAGAATGGGTCTGTTTATACCTGTCTGGTGTCTCACGTCAGCCTCAAGACTTCAGCTTTTGCCACCTTCGCTTTCCCAAAATCTAAAGGTAAGATGCTAAAAGATTTTTAAAAAGTCAACTGTTATTAATTGAATTTTCAGAGGAATGCTTTGTTGCATTGATTCATAAAGTAAATCATCTGAAGTGATTTGAGACAACAATAACGAGATAATAATAATATTAATCCTTGCATTCGATATATAAGTCGAAGTATAAAATGCATGGATTTTTATTATTATTCAGCTGAAGAAAGTCAGAGCTGATCAATCACTTGATGTCTGACAGCAATCGGGTCGAAGTTGGAGGTCGAGTGTGGAGGAAGATGGGAGAGTTGGGTTTCATCACTGTACATGTGAATATGCAATACATGTCTACAGTGATGTCGCCAAGTGGGAGCATATAGATAGTGAAGAGCAGAGGACCGAGGATAGAGCCATGAGGAACATCCAATGTTCAGCAGCAAGAAACTGTGACTTGAGGGATGGAGTGTGACTGTTGTCCTGGGGAACCTGAGGGGATAGGAAGCGATGGCTGATATGATGAGAGACCAATGTGTTAAGAATGGTGATGAGGGAGTTGTGGATGATGGTCATAAAATATATTGTATCTTTTGATGTGAAGGTTTTGCTAAACCTAACAGATATTATATACATGGAAGCATCCTAAAACTGCTTAATTTTCAAATTCTTTTTAACACAAGGCATTTGATCACAAAATGTAATTCTATTCCATAATGTTCCCTCGTTTTATTAATAACAAGTGAGCACGTTTCATTGCTTGTGATGAGATGTCACTGGGTACAGCCGTCTTAAACTACAATTTATGGTTTGTACTTTGTGGGGATTCCTGTGAAAATCAGTGGTACGTTTTGGTGTCACCTCGCCTGTGTAATAAAATCAAGAGCATTAATAAAAATACGCGCGATCAGATGTCATTAATTATACTACAAAATATCAAACTCTTTTCGGTGATGCTCCTGTCATTTTTTTTCTTATTTCAATAAATGCACAGATTAAGATTAGTCATAATATTTAAACAACTTATTGGGCTTAATACTCAGTTTGAATCACTGCGAATATAATTCATTAATGATATGCATAACATTTGTATTCTACTGCGATGAGTGGAAGTCCAAATTGATGCGCTGCACAATGCTTCACCTCACTTTTCACAGTTTCTCTAGGTAGTAGCAAGGTAACCCATTATTTATTGTGGGCTGGATGTGCAGCGGGTGGTTTCGCATTTCTGGCGCTTGTGATCATATTTGGGAAGCGATGCCAATTAAAAAAGAAAAACGGTAAGAAAATTCTGATTTCATTGCAATTAATTGTAAATATTACACATTGATACAAAACTTTAGAAAGCACCACTGGGTTAGCAAATGGAAAAAAGTGTCTTGATTGTTACTTCAAATTCGAAGGTAGAAGCTACGGTTATACAATGCCAATTACTGGTAGTTATTGCAACAGATTAGGGACTGTAATCATTTCACATGGTGAACTTTAGTATCCCAGAATTTCTCATTTTACAACATCCAGTGTCTGAAATCTGCTCTAACCTATTGCAATCGGCTTCAAATACGATGAATTACATGCATTTGTAAGAAACTCTAGTGATGAATGGCATCAAATAAATGCAGGGACTCACAGCAGATGTACATCAGCAATAGAATTCAGTTAAATATTATATTGAAATTGTGACATAAAAAATATGTTTTTATTATGGAGAGTCCCAGGTGAGTGGCCTCGGCCAAGAGGAGAAATGAAAATGATTAAGGAATAGTGGATAGGCGTTGCCAAGTTTGAAATTTAAAATGTTCAAGGGAAAGAGTTCCACTGTTTTGAGGATTTCGGAAAGTATGAGTGAAGGGGAGATTCAGAGAGAAGGAAAAGGGTGCAGGCGAATATTTCTATTTCACTCATCCTGAAATGTAGAGCAATAATATTATTCTAGTGTTAATATTGAAACTGAGTAAATATTTCATTCAGTAAATTTAATTTATATTTAGGATCAAAGGGAAACCTGACTCAATTGGGCAATCCTGAAGATCAGGTAAGTCTATCACCAAATTATTTGGGTGACCAATGGACCAATTCAGTGATTATCATTGTGGCCGGTATCATTCCAAACATCTTAAAATGCTTCATGAACAATCGTTGTCTTTGTAGCGACTCTATTTGGTCGAACCAACTTACACACAATATGGTCCGATAAACTGTCATGAAGTGTTTCGCCAATTTATCATGATTACCATTCGCGAGGACACCGGACAAACCTCATTCTGTGTTAGAAGATTCTCAAATGATCTTTAAAGTAAACTTAACAAGAATACAGGAACTTGGTTTGACAACCAACCTCCAACAAGGTAGAGCTCATGTTCACTTGGACTGTGAACTGAAAGTTTCCCACCTTAACATCATTCCTTCAGAATTACAGACCTATTTATTTCCCTTTTCAGGATTAAGCTGTTACTTAAATAAATAAATAAATAAATAAAGTTTGCTGACAGTAATTTAATTTTCTAGTAATCCTTCAGAGTCAGCCATATGACTTGGAACACGAGGAGTCCAAGCATGTTTTAAGTGATAATATTTTAAGTGATAATTCTTGTTTGATCCATCTAATCAGATATGCAACATATTTTCACGGGCATAGATTGCAAAACATCAGTTGCAAAAATGAATTTCACTGCCTCCAGACAGAACTCGATCTTCTTAATGAAGATATGTCTTTAACTATTTCAACTTGACAGCAGTTTATTTCCCCTAAATCCTCCACTTATTCAATTCCATGGTCAAAGATGACAGACCAAGAAAGGCAACGGAACAACCACGTAACTTTGTTTTACAGGCGGGGGAGGCAGCAGCGGGTGACAACGTGGCTTATGTAACATTGGATTTGAGAAGTTCCAATAAAACTCCAAGAACTAAACATCAGGAAGACAGGACAGTATACGCCCAGGTACACAGCATGGAGAAACCTTGTATTGGACAGGTTTGGTAAATTGGGTTCATTGACTTTCATCGTTATTATTTTGTCCCCTCCTCCAATCTTCTACCTCGTTTTCGATGCTGCATTTAGTTGTGGAACATTTTCAGCTTTCCAGGATTCAACCAATATCATTTATTTATCTAAAGATAATGAAGATATGTAAAACGGATCAATTTTAGGGAGTGTTGGCGAAAAGGCGGGTAAATGGGAATCAATAGATAATTCTTTCAAACATACAGCACGTGTACGATGGGCCGTCTGGTCTTCTGAGCTATATAGTCCTTAGATTTTATCTTTATAAATGAGTCAACAATTCAGCAAATAAATTAACGAGGATCAGAGATATTACAATCCAGACGTCCTGAGATGTCAATGTCCCACAGAGCAATCAGGAATTGCAGCACTAACTGATCTTCGCCAACCCATGAAAGCAGTTGTCAGCTCATCGTTGAGATCTAAAACCCTTAAATCTGCAGCTACATATCGCAGTTTGCAATACATTTACCAATCGTCCATGGGGTGAAGCGTTTGGAATAATGTAACCTAAAACGTGTTGCATACATGAGGGGAAGAGATAAGAGAGTTATAGGAGCAAATAGGAAGGGATGGAGCTCGTGTGAAGTATAAACACCGGATGGTCAGTTCCTGTACCATTCTATGTACATCTCTCTGTGTAACAAAGACAAACCAAACATTGTTTTTGCAGACCAAGCGAGGAGCAGCCGCTAACAAGCTGACATACGCTGCTCTGGATTTGCCTCGCTCCAAAAATACAGGAAAAGCTAAACACAGCGACAAGAATTCAGAGTATTCCGAGGTAAAGACCAGAAACTACGAAGATGGCACTTTCATGGAGTCAGGAACCGCATAATGTCACAATAATAGACAATTATCGATGCAGATTCCTCACAGTTCCCTTCTAATGTAGACTAGTTACAGTGTGTACATCAATGTGGTGTGTTATTGTGTCACTGCTCTGACACTGCAGGAAGACATAATGTTTGATTAGTTTGTATTACCTATCATTTATCAAGTCAATGCAATTTCAACTTCAAATTTGTATAATACTAATCTGATAATGTCGCTGAGCTATAAACTATAATAGTTTATAAAAGCTAAGAAGCTATTGTATCACTGGAACAAAATATACCAATACAAATCTAGAACCAGTTTCTAATAGTTTGTAAGACTGTGAAGCGGTTTTGTCGACTTTCAATAAACAAAAGTTATGAAACGTAATGTGTTGGGATTGATTTGTTCAATCTATATCTTCGATAGAATCGGATAAAATTAAATAACTATAAAATGGAATTCTTAAGCGTTGTTTCAGATGGAGCTTAACCAAGTACTTACTGCTGGGCTTCAGACATAGATTATGATGATTCTTTAACGTTCAGTAATGTTTCTCTCTCTCTCTGGGAAATCCAAACATTTTATGTATTAGTCACTAATTGAATGATTGGCCGAAGAGCTGCCCCTTTAGTTGATTCCTGCTATCATCATTCCATTGACCGTGGAGCCAATTTCAACAACAAATATCCGGTTGAATACCCACAACATTTGTATGTAGATTTCATGATCAATTCTAAAACCATTTCTCAGTCGGTCACATTTAAAAGTTAGCAAGCCTCTGCTCAGGGTGGCTCCTTCATGGCTGAATCTGATAGATTGAATACCAGGTCCTCTGCATTACACACAGCGCCAAGTAAATATTCAGCAGCTCAGTGTGTGCTGTGAGGGTAATGTTTTGTTTCACTTATATTATGTTACCTCATCTGATGACAGTAATGTACAGAGTCTCAAATTAGAAGTAAAGTGATATAAATTACCTTAAAAACATTCTAAGAAAATGCGATGCAATTGATCCGCCACAATGAAAAGGTTATTGTGTGGGCGTTATGCAGTATGTGGAAAAACTCCAGTTAAAATGAGGCAACAATCTTTTTTTACCCATTTCTCTGCTGTAAAGGCAATAAATGAAGAACACGATTATCTCCCTTCACCGGTAATTCATGTAACACATCAGCTGATGGTGCGAGCGGTGGATGTTGTAGCAATTTCACAAGTAAGCGTACATATCTAAATATACATATGTGTACCACAGATACAATCTCACACCACAAAGCCTATTATTGGCCATCAGTAAAGCCTGTGTGTCTCATTTCATTTTTTCATCTGTTTCTATATTTTACACTGCATCGTTCCATCTTAAAACGTTTATAAGCGACGTGCTTATGTATCTACTCACTGTGTCAACTCTTGAATACTTAAGCAGGATCGCTGTGGTATTGCTTATTATGGACAATTGCCTAAAATGTTATCAAAATTGATTTGTGGAGTATGTTGCACATAACTTCCCAAGGCTGATCTCAAGGGACTCCAATTCAATGACACAAATGGTGAATGTTCTCCACAATCCAATGTCCCTTTTGTCAACAAAACACAAAATACTGCAGATGCCGGAAATCTGAAACTGCAACAGAAGTCGCTGGGGACACTCAGCAGGTCAGGCAGCATCTTTGGAGAGGGGAAAGAGAGTCAATGATTCGGGTCTGACAAAGGATTCTGACAAAGGATCGTGGACCCGAAACGTTGACTCACAGGACTCACTTTCTTTTCTCTATAGATGCTGCCTGACCTGCTGAGTGTTCCCAGCGACTTCTGTTTTTGTCCCCTTTGTAAATCTTTGTAAATCCCCAATCATGCTGCCGCTGACGGGGCTGTGCTGTCAACTCCGTGGCATCTGAAGATTATAGTTTTTCTCCTCCAGTTCCGTGGTTTATCATTAAATATGTATTAATCGGTGTGCATTGTTGTTCATTGGGGTTTAGTATTTGAACACAAGTGGACTATAATGCCCTGGCCTCCAAAACCTACCCAGCGATTGAAACAGCTTTGGATAAATCTCCCTCCCACTGTGAACCGTCTTCACTGAAATCCGAGGGGAGGTTGAATCCTCCAAATCTAAAGATAGATGAAAGTCATAGGATGGGTGACAGCACCCAAAGTATTCAGCAAGATAAACAAATACAGCCAGTGGTCATTACTTGGATTATGGTTACATGATTATACACTGGAACTGATTGATAGAGTATCTCAGATACCACTTCAGTTAAGGAAACGATTCACTGCGATTAGAGCAAGGAGCAGGTTTCATATTGGTCCCCAGGCACCTTAATATAGTTGGTGTGTGACAGACACTAACATCACTGACATTGTTTTTCACGTTTGGACCAACACGTATTCAGAGATGGTAAATGCGAAGCAACATTTGGTCCCTGTTTGATTCTGCAACCTACATACTAGCATGTCATTAAAAAAATAAATCATATCTTTCTATGGCTCTATCAACACATTATTGCAACGTATCTCTAATATTTATTCATTTTGTGTGTGAATGTACATAGGAAAACAACTGGAATAGAAGGTTGAGACTTACCTTTCTATGGATAGATAGAAAATTGCTCACTAAATCCATGAAGGTTTGTGGGAAACTGCTGTCTGCAATTGGCTGTCGCTTTTTGTACAGAAATACAGTGAATTCACTTTACAATATATTCTGTGAAGTGTTTTGAGACATCTCAAGGATGTGAAAAGGTACTATATCGTTATGATTATTACTAATATATGATCTATTTTTGTGTATGCCTCTTTCCAGTTCAAACCCACAAAGAGCATTAATGCATCCAGTCAACCTCTTTGTGAATACACTGGACCAGGCATTCTTTTCCCGTATTCATTTGGTCGAGAATATTCCTCCTGGGAGAAGGGATTCTTCCACTTAGTTCCTGTTAACTCAGCAAGTCAAAGCCCTACTGAGTAGGGTCGTCCTAGTTGGATAAGCAGTGGCAAGTTTGCCAGATTGTGCTATAAATGGAAAGCTATGCGCCTTCCACCACCTCCAGAACATCGCCAGACTACGGCACTACCTCAACCCTCACGCTGCTGAAACTCTGGTCCACGCTTTTATCACCTCAAGGCTGGACTACGGGAACTCTCTCCTCGTCGGCCTTCCCGGCACCTCCCTCCACAAGCTGCAGGTCATTCAGAACTCTGCAGCTCGTGTACTGTCCCGCACCAGGCATCGCGACCACATCACTCCCACCCTCACCCTCGCTCGCCTCCACTGGCTCCCCATCCCCCAGAGGATCGAACTCAAGATCCTCATCCTCACCTAGAAGGCCCTTTACGGCCTCCTACCTCTCCGACCTACTATCCCCTTACTTACCTGCCCGTACCCTCCCTTCCTCTGGTTCCAGTCTGCTCCACATCCCACGCCCTAACCACCCTTTCAGCCTCTCAGCCCCGAGGCTCTGGAACTCCATCCCCCAGTGCCTTCGCCGCTTCCTCCCTTTCCTCCTTCAAGGCCAGTCTCAAGACCTTTCTCTTCAACCGTGCCTTCAGCTCCCCTCTCGACTCTCTACTCCCTCCTCGCTCCCTCCCTTCCCTCCCCTCACCCTGACCATTGCCCCCCCTGCTCGTGTCCCGACCCAACAGTCCAGCGCCTTGGGACGTCCTCCCGATGTGAAAGGCGCTCTATAAATGCAATCTTGTTGTTGTTGTTTTAGCAGTTTAATCTCCAGCAGTAACCAACATTCATTCTGGTCCCCAAATCCTGGCTTCTGTCAACCTCTGCTAAAACCTCCATGGAATTAAGTAAACAGTGTAGGATCCTCAAGGGAGACAGCATACCTTCCTTTCCAGACACAGGAAAATTCCCATACTTAGGTGTGGTATAGATGTTGAAACCTCAGTCAGGTTTGGGTACACTTTAACATGGGGAGAAGATTTGGAGCTTGTCCATTTCTTTCTTTAAATATTACACATGTTACATTTGCCATGTTAGGCAATACATTATTTACAGCTTATATTATACCATATTTACAGCTCTCAGTGATGATTGTAATCTAGGACATATATTGTCTCCTAATTTTACAATCAACTATGTGGTTCTATCCAAGACACTGACTTCCCTATTGTAGTTTTTGGCATCAACTAATCCGCTAAATATATTGCCCCAATTGTACCAATGTAATCAGGGTTCAGTTGAAGTCAATAACTGGCATTTATCATTCTGTGTAAATCAAACCTGTTCAAGCAACCACCTCCATTCAGCAAACACCCCCAGTTAACAACTGCCCTGGAACAACCCGGTTCACTCAACAATGAACCCTAATTCAGAAGAAACCCTTATATTTAGGCCCCTGGGTGTTTGATGAAGATTGGTTTGACTGTATATAACACACTGTTTACCTACTGTTCCTTTCAAAAAATCACCTGAAGCGCGATGTTATGTTCTCATGATGTGAAAAATTTCAAATCAAAGGATAATTATTATGAAAGTTCAGGATTATGGAAGGCACTTGGGCAATGTGAGAATTATATGAGCAGCAGATTTACCTTACAATGTCTTTCTTCTGTGGGCTACGGTCAGTATAATAAACAGTACCATTACTAATCCCAATTGATTTGAAACAAGGAACTTCCGGTATGTGATTAGAGCTTCCAGAACATGTTTATTTGACTCTCTAACAAGTAAAAGAACACAATTATCCTGACTACTAAGCTGATTCAGCACCTTGGGACGTGAAAGGTGCTATAAAAATGTAATTTTGTTGTTGTTTGTTGTTGATTAAGGCAATACAGAGTTCCTGATAACAATGCTGTATTCTGTTCAACCTCCAGAGTATGCATCAGAATATACAGAACATTGGTCTCAAGCATTGGTTGTCCAGTGCCTTGGGACAATAAGGACATTGCCCAATAAGGACATCTACATCTGCGCATCTCACCCTCTTAAACTCATTCATCAGCTTCGCAGTTTTACTACTGTGATATCACATGTAATTGCGTTATGATTCGCATCCGATTAAACACAAACTGAGT